GGTGCCCCAGCTGTGCCGTGGTGTTCGGGGGGGTGAACTCCATCAAGTCCCACATCCAGACGTCGCACTGCGAGGTTTTCCACAAGTGTCCCATCTGCCCCATGGCCTTCAAATCGGCCCCCAGCGCCCACGCCCACGTGTACACCCAGCACCCCGGCTTCAGCAACCAGCAGGCCAAGTGAGTGCTCCTGGGGGGTGGGGGGGCTCCTCCCCAGGGATCGTGGGGCCACAATCCCTGGGAAGTGTCCCCTGGGAATGTTGGGGATGTGGCACTTGGGGATGGGGGATCGGGGGGTGGGGAGGGAAGGGTTGGGCCTGGTGAGCTCAGGGGGCTTTTCCCACCTGAGCAATTCCGTGTTTGTGGGGGGAGCTGGGAGTCTGACATGAACAATCCCAGGATTATAAAGATTGGGAGTCCAACCTCAACAATCCCAGGATTATAAAGATTGGGAGTCCAACCTCAACAATCCCAGAGTTTTAAAAACTGGGAGTCCAACCTGAACAATCCCAGGATTTTAAGGACTGCCAGTCTCACCCAAACAACCCCCACTGTGACTCCCCAGGACCAGGATCCTCCTCCCCGGGCGGGACCCTCAGGAAGATCCCACCTCCCCCCTTTCCCCCAAGGGAAATTCCCGAGTTTTTTCCCCCCAGGATTCCTGTCCCACTGAGGTGTTTCGTTGTGTGTGTGTCCCCCTCACCCCCAGGATGATCTACAAGTGCGCCATGTGCGACACGGTGTTCACGCACAAACCGCTGCTCTCGGCCCACTTCGACCAGCACCTGCTGCCCCAGCGCGTCAGCGTCTTCAAGTGCCCCGAGTGCCCCCTGCTCTTCGCCCAGAAACGCACCATGCTCGAGCACCTCAAGGTCAGGAACCCGCCCTGGGAATGGCAAAAAAAAAAACAGGGAAAACCCGGGATGTGTCACCACCCCCAGGGCTGGGGGGGAAGGGTGGGGCTGGGAGGGGTTCCTGCCTGGCCACCTGATCCGTGGGGAAGCGTCCCCCTGCCCCGTGGATTGGAAGGAGATGATCCTTTAAATTCCCTCCCACCCCACCCCGTCCCGTGCTGAGCCCATGGATGGGCCAGCATTCCCTTCTCATCTCCCTCAGGAAAACCCCCCAACCCCCCCCTTTGTCTCCCCAGAACACCCACCAGCCCCAGAAGGCCAAGGAGGACGCGGCCAGGAAGGTGCTGCTGACCCCGAAGCAGGAGCCCCTGGAGACCCCCGTGTCCAAGATGTCCGAGGAATCCTCGTCCTCCACGGAGGAGGACGAGCCCCCCAGCTCCCCCGAGCTGCGCAAGGCCAAGAGGAGCCGCTTCCAGAGGAAAACCGGCACCAAATCCAAGGGCAGCGGCTGGACCTGCGGGGTCTGCCACTCCTGGTTCCCGGAGCGCGACGAGTACGTGTCCCACATGAAGAAGGAGCACGGGAAGGTGAGCTGGGAATGCCTGGGAATGCGGGCAGGGAATGGGAGCACAACGTCCACAGCCCCTTGGGGAGGAGACCACTTGGATGGGATTCCCTTGGGTGGGGTTCCACCTGTCCTGGGATTTTCTTTGATGGGATTTCACCCAGGAACCTCCTCTCCCAGGAGAAGCTCCCGCAGGGTTGTTTTAGGATCAGGGAGTGTCCCAGCACCGAGCAGGGATGGGGATCCTTCCCCCCCCCACCCCGGGGTTGAGGTTTTTGAGGGGCGGGGTCGTCACGAGGTGCTCCCTTATCCCGGAGTGCAGCCCTGGGATGGGCAGGGATTGGGGAATCCGAGTCCTCCCCCACCCCCTGGTGTGGGATCCCGGCCCCCTGGCCCGGCCCCGCCCTGAGGGACCCCGCGGTGTCCCCGCAGTCGGTGAAGAAGTTCCCGTGTCACCTCTGCGAACGCTCCTTCTGCTCCGCCCCGAGCCTGCGCAGGCACGTCCGGGTCAACCACGAGGGCATCAAACGGGTCTATCCCTGCAGGTACCCCCCAACAGCTCCTCCCCTGGGGCTGGAAAAATGGGATGGGGAGAGGGGGAGTTGGGGGGGAGGTCGGATCTGGGGAGGGGAAAAAGGGTGGGGGAGAAGCACTCTGGGGTTTTGGTTCTGGGCAGGTTTGGGGTTGGATTTGGGGGGTCGGGATGCCAGAGCAGCATTCCCAGGGAATCCAGCTGGGCTTTTTTTTTGGGGGGTTGGGGGTGGGATGGGGGATGTGCTGGAGCTTCCCGAGGTGCTGCCCAACCCCAGGTACTGCACGGAGGGCAAAAGGACCTTCAGCAGCCGCCTCATCCTGGAGAAGCACATCCAGGTCCGGCACGGGATCAAGGTCACGGACCAGATGAAGAGCCAGGAGGTCGTGATTGCCCGGATTGGGAGCGGCCCCTCCCAGGTAGGGGGGGAACCCCGGGAGGGTTTGGGGGTGTTTCCTGGTTTGCTCCTGACTCCGTGTCCTGCAGGAGAGGGGGAATGTCCCATCCTGCTTGGTGGGAGATACCCCAGGGTGTGAGGACACCTGGGGGGGGGGGGTGATGGGAACTGGGACCCCTCGGATGGGATTCCTGGGTGGATCCCTGGGTGGGATTCCCCAGCTCTTGGTGCACCCCCCCCAGCCCTCGATCTAAGGGGATCCCGGTGCCGGTTCCCTCCCGATCCCGGTTCCCTCCAGAGCCTCTCGGACCCTCCCGCAGGTGTCGGGCCGGAAGAGGAAGCTCTCGTCGGACGATTCCTGCAGCGAGGAGCCCGACAGCACCACCCCCCCCTCCAAGACCCCCAAGGGCGACCGCAAAGGCCCCCTGAGGTGCCGGAAATGCGGGTACTTGGCCAGCAGCCCCTCCGACTTCCAGGAGCACATCCCGCAGCACCGGACTGACGAGAGCTCCCACCAGTGCCGCGAGTGCGGGCTCTGCTTCACCTCCCAGGTGTCCCTCAACCGCCACCGCTTCATCACCCACAAGAAGAAGAAGAGCACGGGGAACCTGGAGGACCCCGGGCCCCGCAGCCCCCGGGAAGGGGGGTCCCAGGGCGCGGCCGACGGGAAATTGGTGTGCAAGGTGTGCGGGAGGGGCTTCGACAGCCAACTCAACCTCAAGACCCACTTCAGGACCCACGGCATGGCCTTCATCAGGGCCAGGCAGAACAACAGCCCCGAGAACTGAGGGAGCGTCGCCAGCCTCTGGAATTCCCTCTGGAATTCCCCCCCACACACCGTTCCGGGACCCACGGGCGTGAGGAGTGAGGGGAGCCCGGCCCAGGAATTCCCACGGGATCCAGGTGGGAACGGTGTAAATAACAGCAGGGGGCTCGGGCTCCCCCTCCCTGCCTCCCTCCGTCCCGTTGGGATGAAGGAGCCGGGAAGAGAGAGGAGAACCGGGATGGGCCGAGCTGTCCTGACTCTGTGCCTGAATCTGCTCCATCCCCACCCCCGGTTTTGGGGGATTTGGGCTCCGGGAGAGGAGGAGCCACGTCCGGACTCGCCGAGGGGCTGTTCCTGTCCCGGGGAAGGACCTTCCCCTTCCCGCCATTCCCGGGAAGCGCCGGGGCTGGGCAGGACCCGGGACCACCAGGGGAGGCTTTTCCACATCGTCACAGCAAAATCCACCTTTTTGGGTTGTTTTTTTTTTT